TATTCCATAGACACCTAGGTTTTCTCACTGCTTTTCATTTGTTTGTCTTTTTCTGCCTTGACTGCATAGTTTCAAAGTTCCTGTCTCCTAATTCATAATTTCTTTCTTCTACTTGACCCTGTCTGTTGTTGATGCTCTCTATTGCATTTTTTTCATTTCACTTATTGTATTTTTCATCTCCAGAATTTCTGTTTGGTCCTTTTTTGTGATTTTTATTTCTCCATTAAACTCCTTCTTTTGTTCATGTATTGTTTTCTTGATTCCATTGAATTGTTTTCTGTGTTCTATTTGAGCTTCCTTAAAATAGCTATTTTGAATTCTTTATTGGGTAAATCACAGATCTCGATGCTTTGGCCCAAGTTACTGGGAGGTTATTTTGATCCTCTAGGGGTGTCATGTTTCCTGATTTTTAATGTTCCTTGAAGACCTGCATTACTGTCTTTGCATTTAAAGTAGCAGTTATCACCAGTCATTACTAACTGACTTAAATATAGAAATATCTTTCACCAGTCTTGCTAGGGACATGAGGCTTTTTCAGACCTTCTGTGGATATACCTGCTCCACACTCTTGGTCCTTCCTGTGGAAGAATTCTTAAGCTTGTATGCTTTCTCTAGATCTTGCAGCATCCTGGGCTGGGTGCTGGCAGTCTCCTTTTTGCTTTTGCTAGGGTAGAGCTAAAGCTGAAGTTTGTGTTCTCTCATTGGCCTGCAGATTTTGGTTATCTTTCTGCACTACTTACTAGTAGTTTGCCTAAGCTCGTTCTTGCTGTCCTTGGTTAGTGTGCAGAGAGAGTTGACCACAGCTTGAGGATGTGTGGGTAAGATTCATGGAGTGTTGGGGGTGCCTGTGGTCCATTTGGTGGGACCCACAGGTGAGGGATCCCTAGTGGCTCAATCGTAGACTTCTTGGTGGAGTCCATGACACAGTTATTAGGATCTATGCCCCTTAAGTATCCTCCAAGAGTCCTATCTGCTGCTCTCCCAGCCTTTTCCTACCCTCGGTAATGCAACTCATGACTCTCTGCTCTGGATGGAGTAAGAGAGAAATGGGCCTCTTTTGCAGCAACTTGCACAGCTGTGGAGGCCAGGCACTCACTCACACTCTCTTACGTTCCCCATGGGACAGATTACAGGTTGAGAAATTCTCTCTTGGCACTGAGTTGTGCCACCTTGGGGGAGGGGTGATGCAGGTAAAGTCTCTTCCTCTTCCCCTCTCCTGTGCATCCAACCTTGTCTTTCTTTGCTTCGGTAGTATGCTGGAACTTCTCTGCTGGAAACCTGGACTTCCACAAAGGCTCTCTTGTCTGTGGGTGATTGTCTAAGACAGTGTTCTCCAGGGGCTCCTGGACCAGGCTCAGAGGGGCTAAAGCCAGTTCACAGGCCATTACAGTGTCCCTAGCTTAAAGTGAAGTCTGTAAGCCTGTTACTGGATGCACAGGTTGGTGAGACTCCTCCCGAGTCCCTTAGTGTATAGTGCTGGGTCTTATAACTTCCACAAAGGCACTTTTGCCCATGGATAAATGCCAGTTGTTAAGAGGGGGATATGAAGGAGAGATGGTCTTATTCGGCCATGTTGCTGATGTCATTCCCCAAGTGCATTTCTATTTCCTGATTTACAACCTCACTTTACTAAGTCATATCCTTAACTGACTTCCAATAAAATTATGCGTGGTAGGTAAATTTTAGATCCTTTCTTGTTTAACAGTATTTTTATTCATTCTTTGTGCCTGATTGTAATTTTCAAAAGGTATACGTTTATTAATAGAAAATAGTTTTCCTTTAGAACTTGAGGGCCTTCCTTATTATCTTAATGATAGAAGTATCTGGCAGTCTGACTTTTAGTCTGTTGTCAGGTTGTTTTGTTTTGTTTTTTCCCACTGGAATAATTTATGTTTTTCCTTTAACTCTTGAGGTTCTGAAATTTTTAAAATGATGTATTTAGTGATGAATCTTTTTTTCATTAATTTTGCTAAATATCTGAAAACCCCATTATGTGTAAAGAATTAGGTCTATTATATCTGGGAAATTTTCCCTTATTATTTGTTTTGGTAACCCGCTTTTTGATTTCTCTGTTTCTCTCTTTAGCTGTGTTACTTGATGTTGGACTTCCTGGGTCTATTCTCTGTGTCTTATCTTTTCTACAATATATTACACTTCTTTTTTTTTTTTTTTTTTTTTTTTAAAGCTTGGCATCTGAGCTAACAACTGTTGCCAATCTTCCTTTTACTTTTTCTTTTTCTCCCCAAATTCCCCCAGTACATAGCTGTATATTTTAGTTGTGGGTCCTTCTAGTTGTGGCATGTGGGATGCCACCTCAACATGGCACAACGAGCGGTGCCATGACTGCACCCAGGTTGTGAACCGGTGAATCCCTGGGCTGCCAAAGTAGAGCATGTGAACTTAACCACTCGGCCATGGGGCCGGCCCCTAGGTTACATTTCTTTGTCTTCTTTTTTCATTTCACAGAGGTTTTCTCAATTTTCCAAACTTTCTCTTAAAGTTTTCACTTTTGTCATCCCCTATTATTACTTTTATAGATGCAATATCTTTTCATTTAGGATTCTAAAATAAAACTTTTTTTCCCTTTTATTAAAAAGACATGATTGCTCTTCTTTTTAGAATTAATTTTAATTCTGATGTTTTAAAATTATGAGAACACTTTATGAATGAGTCCTTTAATAAAATGCAATGATTATTAAATCTGCTTTCCTTGCTACTTCTTGGGGAAGAAGTCTTAATAGGGTAACATTTGTATATTTCTAGGACACTAGTCATAATGCCATTCAATATAAGCTTTATATGACAATAACATACATATATACATATATACAAACACATACACACACACACACCCCCACCTCCAAAATGCTGGAGTCTTACCCCATGAAATCATTGAGATTTATTTGAAATACTGTTGTTGAAAACTCTTCTCAGCACGTTTGTGCATTTTCAGGTGACTTACTTTTTTTTATACTAAAATTTATATTTTATACATTTGGGATCATAGTAGCTGATCTTTTGCTTTCTTTTTTTAATGCACTTTATTTAAGAACAATTTTAGGTTCACAGCAAAATTGAACAGAAGGTAAAAATATTTTCCATATCCCCCTGTTCTCATCATGCAGAGCCTCCCCTATTATCAAAATTCTCCACAAGAGTGGTACATTTGTTACAATTGATGAACCTACATTAACACATCATTATCACCCAAAGTCTATAGATAACATTAGGGTTTGTTCTTGGTGTTGTGCATTCTATGGGTTTAAACAAATGTGTAATGACATGTATGCACTGTTAAAGTATCATACAGAATAGTTTCACTGCCCTAAAACTCCTCTGTGCTCTGTTACCTGCATTTTAATGATCATCTCTGGTTCAGATTTCCTGCGTTTACTAATTCCTAGCTTGCATTTTTAATTATTTTCTTACTTTTACATCATAGCTTTTTCTCTTTGAATCTTCTCTATTTCCTCCTCAGACTAGACATGCATAAAGATCTGTTGCATGTAACATAGCTTGACTAAAAATTTAGGAGCCATATGGAGGGGACATGTATTTCATTAGAGATTAAAAACTAAAGATACAGGGGCCGGCCAGTGGCGCAGCAGTTAAGTGCGCACGTTCCGCTCTGGTGGCCCGGGGTTCACCGGTTCAGGTCCTGGGTGCAGACATGGCACCATTTGGCAAGCCATGCTGTGGTAGGCGTCCCATATATAAAGTAGAGGAAGATGGGCACGGATGTTAGCTCAGGGCCAACCTTCCTCAGCAAAAAGAGGAGGATTGGCAGCAGTTAGCTCAGGGCTAATCTTCCTCAAAAAAAAAAAACTAAGGATATATATTACAAATTCTTGCCCTAAGAGTTCTCTTAGCAACCCCTTCACCAATGATATGTCACTGACCACTATACTCTATCCGTTTTCTCAGCCTAACTCAATGTCAGCCCCTCTCACTCTAGAGTGGAAAAAAATTCTCCGATTGACACATGAAAAGAAATTCATCCATAGCTCTTCGTTTGAATCTCCTAAATCCTGAAAGGGCTCAGAAAAACAGAGTTGACTTTTTTTATAATATGATTCATTCTTTTAAGTAAATTAATTATGGATATATCTAGCAATGTTTTCTTATGTATTTGTATACTACCTATAAGGCACTGACTATATAATGAGATTATTCAAAATCTGTCAATGTATCTTCAAGGAAAGTATTATCACTCTCACATTATAGATGAGAAAAATACAGCTCATAAATGTTAGATACTTTAGCCAGTGTTATAAAGTTTAAAATACCAGCTATAAACGACTGAGTCCAGGATTGGGATATAGATTTCTTCACATCAAATTATCTGTACCAGTTATGTGTTAATATTTTGTCTTTTTTTCCCTAATTATATTTTTAGCTCACTGATGCAGATGGCATGGGCAGGATTAGCTTCATACCTTAAATAATGCCATCCTAGATGCAGCGTATGGACACAGGATTTGCAGAGTGGAAAGAATGAGGCAAAGTGCCTAAAACAATTTCAAAGGGCAAAATGACTCCAAGTCAAGTCACACATACTCTCAAGAGTGTGGTCATGGACAGACTCAGGAGAGCCAGAGAATCCCATCTGTTGATCTATTTCCTCTGCAAGAGTTTCCACTAGGAGACAGTGAAGATAAAAGAGGATGCAGCACCATAGCTGCTGCTACATTGTCTCAACAATGTTGTCCCTCCTGGGATTTGTCTCTCACAGGCTCCTGCCTTCCTTAGCCAGGATAGGTGAGGGGCAGGGGGCTGGGCATACAGGGTTTTTTTACTGTTTCCCAGGGCACAGAGGGATTCTGTGAGCCTGAGTTAGGCTTTCTGCCTAGAAACATCCTGCAGCTACATTCATTCTACTGTCCCTGACATTCCATGGTGGCACAGGAAAATCTATGTGGTTATCTAGCAGGGCTTCATCTAAGAAGTGAGGTAAACCCTTGTTCTAGGGACACTAAATTTGTCTGTGGTTTTTACCTCGACATTTTTCCATTGTTACTAACCCTAAGTAAGGACAAAGTATCGGTCTTCTCAGATACCTGCATTATTGTCCTATTCTAACACTCTTCTAACTGCCTTTCATTGCTTTTCCTGCCTGGAGAATTCTTATCTCCTCAAGAGTGAGGAGGGGAGAACAAAGCTTCTACTATCATCATTTGTTCTTCACAAATTTAAACTTTTGGGAACAAATTTTTACTTCAGTACAAAAATTTTGACGTTTGGTACTTTTGAGTTTCAAAATTCCTTTCCCCTAACTTATTTGTCTGTCATAACTTTTAAAAACTATATTAAAATGAATACAGACTTATTTCTTGTTTTTTATATTTCTGCTATAACAAATGAACACTGAAGGCTTAAGGCATGTGTTACCTTCACTGATGCCTGAACTGGGGGTCGGGGGTTGGGGGAGTTGGAGTGGCCAAGGGTGGGAACACAAGGAAGAGAGAAATACTAACCTTAGCTATCAAAATATTATCAGTTTATACTTGGATGCACTTCGGTTATGGGGCATGAAACATGATCTGGAAAATGAAAAATGACATTAAATGAGCCTGAAGCATAAGGGACCATGGTTCTAGTCAGCCCTGAGATGAAATACAGGAAAAATTTTAATAAAAGATCTCATAAAGGAGAATTTATTGCTTCCATGGAGACATTGGATCAGGGTCCCTAGAGATTAGGTAACTGGATGGAATGTCCCAGGCATCCCATAGTAGGTAACAATTGAGAAGAGAAAAAATAATCCGGCAGTCAGGGGGAGAATTCTGAAGGGTATGAGAGCTCTTGGGAGATACAGCACCTTGAGTCCCAGGGAAGAGGTTAGAGGAAAAACGATGAAGAAGAGAAGGAGTATGATGAACTGGGCCAGTAAATAGTGCGAGGTCATCTAGCACATTCACTCTTCTGTTCTTGTAGATGGGCAACGTGCCTGCAATAGGACGGACATGAGGTTGATGGATCCTATGGTGCTCCTGTGCCATCATCAAGCCCTTTCCCAATTCTCCTACTTTTCAACCACATTTGTGTTCATAATCTCCTCCCACTTTCCTTCCTCCTGTATTGTGTCTCCAGCTCCCAGTTCTGACAAATCTGAGGTCTTACCTTCCCTTCTATGGTGCAACTCACAAGCATCCTTGGTGTCTTAAGGCACCACCCGAGCGTACGCCTCGGATGATGAGGAAGGTGCCCACCACGATGCCCACAAAGCCGACAGCCAACCCCAGGGCACAGACCACAGTCTCTGTCAGCTCTGACACAGGAGTTGGAATCTCAGGTTCTGTGAAAGTGAAGTTGTGGAGGTTAGAATACAGAATATTCCTGTGCATGTACATTGGCTGGAGTGGGCTGGGGTGTGGTTCTGAAAAGACTTAGGGCAAAAAGTTTAGGTAGGAGAGTGAAGTCTATAATTAGGAATCTTTGAAGCATGGAAAACAAGATTTGGGCCATGAGATTTAGGAGCTAAAAGACAGAATGTTCTGAATTTGACAGAGAAAAGACGGTTCCAAAAGGAGTGGAACTCATACATACCCCAGTGTTTCAGAAGTGGCTCGTCGAGGCCCCAGTGCTCCACCTTGCAGTCATAAATATCGTCAGCAGAAGGGAGGAAGGTGAGGTAACTGATCTTCAGGAAGGAATCATCAGTCTTGGGGAGGAAACTCATCTCAAAAACACCTTCACTGACTGAGTGCCCATTCCTCAACCATGTGACTTTGATCACAGGAGGGAAGATGTTGTCCACAAGACAGATGAGGGTGTTGGGCTGACCCAGCATCACAGGAGACTTGGGAAACACAGTCACCTCAGGAACCTCTATGGTGAAGACACAGCACTGTTACGAATTGTGAATAGCTTTGCCCTGGGAAAAGAAGACTTATTCTTTCCCTTCTGCTTGGGAAACAATATACACTGCCTGCACTTTATCCCTGTGCCCTTCTCTCTGTGGGCATGCTTGCTAAGGTAGGATGTCTATGGGACTCCTCTTTGAAGGATTCAAGGATTGTGTTAGGGGGTAAGCATCCTTGTATTAAACAGAATATGTGATTTTTGAGATGGGAGAGGATGAGGGTTCAGTAATTACTAAAAGATTTGAGGACTTCTTGGAAAGGAGATAATTTTATAGAATATTGAAGGATGAGTATCTATCCCTAGGGAAGAAGGGAGTGAGGTTGGTATGAAGGGATAGATTCAATAAGGGGAGGCAGAATGGTGGACACATACCATTGGTAGCAGCAGTAGAGTTGGAACGTTTAATCCAGATGTCCAAGTTGTGTTTTGCCGTAGCCACATTTCTCAGTCCACCCTGTGGGTCAAAAGTTGCAAACTCGCCAAACTCAGGCAGCCGCCACACAGTCTCCTTCTTCTCCAGGTCCACATGGAACTCCTCATCTCCATCAAATTCATGGGTGTACTGACCAAAATCACCATAAGACTCGTAGATGACTGTGCCGTAGGAGGCAAAGTGGTCAGCTGATGAGTGAGGGTGAGGAGCAGGACAGTGGAAAACAGAGGGAGAGAAAATAACCTTATTAAACAAAGTGACAGAAGAAATCGACTTTCAAATATTGTAGGCTTCATCTTTGGTTGTCGCTAGGCAAAATTCCCAGCACCTGATTCCTTCCCCCTCAGTGTTGGTAGCTGTCCAGTTAGAATCCAGTCTGTCTTTCCATATAACGTACGCTCTAGGAGGGCGGAATTTCACAGGCCGTGCTTATTGCTATTCCCTATGTGCCTAGCTCAGTGCCTGGCACACTCTTGGCTTACAATACAGCTTGTAATGGGATGAAAGAAGAAGTGAATTAACTATCATGGTACTAGCTTTCTTCCCCAGAGATTCAGTTTACTTCCTTCTACTTCATAAGTTTTCTCTCTCACTTTTTCACCAGTTAACAACACGTTCATCATAGTTGTTCTTCCCTCAGGACTCCCCTCAGAGCAGAACATTTACTACACAGCAATTCCGTCCTCATTTTCTTTTTCTTTCTTTTTTTTTTTTAACCAAGAAAAGGCACACAGGATCTTATTATTTTAAAAGAGATTGCTCTGTTATAGGGTATAAGAATGATTATGACAATGACAGTAACATTACAAAATATGTAAAAAATAAACAATGCTTTTAAGGTCAAAGTTTTATTAACAGTAATGATCATTAAAGGAGAGCACCTGATTCCTTCCAAAAGAAAAAAATGGAAGTTTTATTAGATTTTCAATTTCTGTTATTCCTCTGACATCGTGAGGAGAAGGGAGTCAAACACCAACCAGGCATGGTCTCTGCCCTCAAGGAGCTTATTGAACAGTGGGAGAGTCAGGTGAGTAAAGGACTATATATTGTATACTGTGGCGAGTTCTGTGGTGGGAAAATCAATAGCCTCATAGTCCAACATCTTCTGCAACTACCTCATCTGCCAATCAAACCAAACTATATTATCCTTTCATGTTCCTTGACCTTTGCAGGGGTCTGTTTTTCTCCCTGAAATGAAATTATCTTTTAGGATTTCCCAGGCAAATCCAGCTCATTCTTGAAGTTCCTACTTAGTTACCAACTTTTTAGCTAAGTTCTCTTATTAAATATGTTTTTGATCACGTTTATGACTCCAACCCTTTCATCCCAATGTCCTGCTCTCCACATTTCTTTATTCCTCACCAAGTTCACTCTCTTGCCTACCCAGCATGACTCCCTCAGTTGATCGCCTAAAAGGCTCTCCAACAAAGCCTCCTTGTCCTTGCAATGAATCTTCTTGACTCCTTTTTCAGACATGAATATGTGTGATTATTCTTTTCATCAGGTACTTGTCCTGGGCTGCTTACAGTTGATGAAGAACATCACACTGCTGATGGCCAACTGGACCCAATTCACTTTTATAGTTTCAGCCTCAACTGAGTCCACTGTCCTGCTCAGCAGTGGTCCTTCTGCTTTCCTGCACCATGTTCTTTCCATCACTAATCTGTGCACCCTCCAGGGGACAGACAGCATTTTTTGAATCCCCAAAACAGCTTGCTATGTGCACAAAAATGGGTATTGAATATCAATTGCTATTCTTGAGAATCACAGAGATTTGGGGGAAGGCCAACAGACACAGAGGTAGCAGAATGATATGACGGTCAGAATCAGTGGTGATCAGAGCTGCATAATGACTTGTGAGCCCTAAGCTCTGTTGCTTTTGTGGACCCCTTCTTCCATAAAAACATTAAAAATTGTATTTTATGACTATATTGGTATAAAAACAAATATAATTCAGGCTGGATTAAAAATTAAAATATTTTCTTCCATTCTAAAAGTTCATTTTTCCTTTAATTTTAAAAGAAATTAAAACATGTTCATGGAGCCCTACAAGTATCACAGGCCCTTGGCACTGTGCCCCTGTTCCTCAAGTGTAAGTCGAGCTCAAGCACGGCACTATGGTCTGACACTGAAGAAAGAAAATTTGGAAGCGCTCTGGAGAAGCAGATGAAACTTCCACTACCATTAGAATGGGAGCAGCCATGGTTAATAAAGTTGCTGAAAATTAAAGTAACTTCCATTTCACTTCCCCTTTTAACTATTTGGCTTTTGTACTTTGACTTTTACAAACTCACTCTTCATGTCTATAAAACAACAGGGCAAAGAGCCAGGGATGGATCCCGGAAGGAAAGGAGGGTAAAGGAATGTATGAAGAGAGGCTGGAAAGACGTGGACACCAAGAGGTAGAGGGGCTAAGGGACCAAATAATTACCCTGTGCTTGCCCAGTTTTCCTCTGATAGGTCTCCATTAGATGAAGTGTAAGATAGGCAATTTGGGCTGAGGATTTGAGAATAATGTAATTTAATTCACCAAGTTTTTAATCATAACGTTTTCAATTTTAAAATAAAAATAAAGATATTTACTTGATTAAAGAAAAAAATGAAGCTACAGCTGTAGTAGTAATAATAAAAAAGAATAATCATTGACATTTATATGCCTCCATTATTTAGAAAGCATATCTACATACCTATTGTATTTGATTATTTGTGAGGTAACATATTTGAGGTAACTGAGATAAAGTGAGGATTATGTGGTAAAATGACTTGTCTAAAGGCATTCAGCTGGGCTCATTTACCCACTCCCGACCTGTGGCAGTTCCCAGCATGGAAATGTAGGTAAATCTGAGACAAGGAAAAGGTCATCTTTCTTTATATCTGTAATTTATGGAACTATTTACCCCAAGATAAAGCATAGGAGAAATATATAAGAACTTCAAAAGTTGTTCAGAGAAGTTTGGGAGCAAATAGTTCACAAAATTTTAGTAACAAAACATCCACGTGTGAAAACATCCCTAGTCTTTGAGGCAATCATGAATGAATGCCATGGGACCTTCCAGCCTATATTCACTGGATCCAGTAACAGGAACAGAATAATGCCTTGGTGAACTCTGCAACAGCACAGGCAGCAAAGAGAGTGGCTTGGGACTCTAGTTTCCTGAAGGAAGAAGAAGCATAGTTTTTAAATCTGCTCAATACTGAGAACGCCTTTGAAGACTCTCTACTATTTCTGTGGCAATATCTATCCTTTTTTTCCTGTTCTAATTCCCTATTCCCCAAGTCCAGTCTCCACCTCCCTCAACTATGCACTCACCCACAATGTCTTCACCTCCGCAGGCGCTCATCATGGTGGTCAGGGTGAGGGCCCCCAGAATCAGAGCTCTGTTTAGGATCATTGTCTTCTCAGGGTGGTCTCAGCAACTGCTGTTCTGAGTTGGACAGCCACGGAGAGGACTGAGCTGAGAAGGAACTCTAAAGACACCCAAACTAAACCCTACCAGATCAGGTTCTGGCCAATCAGAAAAATCCGCTATGATGACACTTCAGTTGCCAGTTGAAGACTTTGTACTAAGAGGCCTGTAAGGGATTGGGAAATCCCCTGGTTCTGATGTAGCCTCAGCTCAGAGAGGACCTGAGGGAATTTTCTATGAAAGGAGGGAGGGTATTAAATCAGAATCTTCTCACATGTGTGTATGCCTGCTGAAGACTAGAGGGGTGGGAATTTCTGAGCAGCCTCATGGATAGATGAGGTCATTACCCATACGGTGTCCTTCAGGATTTTCTGGGTTACAACCTCCAAGAATTCTCCCAAGTTGATCCCCCTCCCTGGCAGTCCCCACCCCCTTGCTTTCCCTGGCATCCATATGTGGGTTAGCTGTCTTTCATTTTGTTTCCATAACACATATAGAATTCTCTAAATTTTGAGTTGACTCGCCTAACTAGGGCATCTCCTCTGGAGGTAGCCAAGGAATACCTTTGCCTTTTCTATTTATATAAATCCAGTTGAGTAAGTTCTTCTCATGCTCTCAAAAGCTTCAATATTTGTACCCAGGGCAATGAAAGGAGTTATAATGCCATGTAGTGCTGCCTACAGTAACTGCATGATCTTCCATCTGAATTTTTTCCCTGCCATAAGTATTCTTTATGCTTTGTATTTTGCTGCCACCTGTCTACATTGAAAGGAAATTTGGAGACATTGATTATATTAGAGAAAGCTCTGGCTGCCTCATTCTATGATTTTTATTTTTTAAATTAAAGAATGTCAAGTCAAACATTGAGATTGGAATGAGAGGAATTGCTGTGACTCAGAATATTGTTTTTCTTCTCTTGATCTACTGGATCTTTTTATATTCTTTCTCCTGCCACATTAAAATTCCAGATATTTGCAGAGGACTAGGGATTGAGCTAAAGTCAAAGGCAGTGATCAGAGGGAGACTCATTTTTTCAGAAGAATCAATTTTCTCGATGTTATGGAAGCCACAAATTAAGGGGGCTCCATTTTGAATCAGTCACCCTGTCCCTGTTAGATGGCCCTCAGTTCCTCAGCACTCTGCCTTACCTCACAGTGACAGAGACTGTAAAGAAAGGTGAGACAGAAAAAGCCCTGGCATCTGGGAGCTTCCTGGTACAATTTGTTAGGCCTTGGTGATGCCAGGAGCTGGCCTGGTACTCACAGCTCGGTTTTGGTGTTTTCCTGCTGAACATAAACAATTTCACAGAACAGCAGTATCAGACAGCCACGCTGTAACCACAGTGGATCAAGACAGAAAACAAGGCCACTCAGTAATCATGTCTGAACACAAACAAAATATGAACATTGTCCAAACCACAAAAATGGCCAAGCATATCTTTCTCTTAAATGAAATGAAGGACTACTGCTTCTTTATCAATTATAGCTTCAGCCTCAGTATAGTCTTCTTTCCGTCTAGGTAGGATTATGAAGATGTCCAGTTATAGTATTATCCCACCCATCACCCACTTCCTCATAGGATCCAATTAAGGGCAAGTCCTTCTTTTTTAAAATCATCCTCAAAATCACCTAACACAATCTCAAACCCTAAAATATTTAACGATCAGTTTCATGTGTTGACTAGGCTATGGTCCTGTTTTCCAATCAAACATTAATCTAGGTGCTGCTCCAAAGATATTTTGTAGATGCTATTAAGGTCAATAATCAGTTGACTTTAAGTAGGAGAGGTTATCCTAGATAATTTGAGTGAGCCAGATCCAATCAGCTGAAAAGTCTCAAGAGCAGAGCTGAGGCTTCCCTGAGGGAGAAGAGATTCTACTGCAGCCTGCACCTCAGCCTGTGCTGGGAGTTCCAGCCTGCTGTTCCTGACAATGGCCTGCCCTATGGATCTCGGACTTGCCTACTTCACCCCCACAATTGTGTAAACTAATTCCTTACAATAGTTCTCTCAATAGACAAAGAGGCTGGTTCCAACCCTGACTTAGGAGATGCTCCATGATTTCCCATGGTGAGTTTTCTCCCTCCCTGTAATGAACAATAAAACCAAGTTGTTCATCCATGGGTGGGCTCCTGGTGGTCTTTGGCTAGAGGCATTGACAGTATCTAATTAGGTGATTGTGAGGATTATACATATACTTGGAACAAAAAATTCCTAGGTCTCTTTAAATATACTTGTCATACTTTAATATCATCCGCATTTTATAAGGAGGACATTGGAGCTCAGAGAGGTGAAGGAATTTGCCCAGGGTCACATAACTAGTAAGTGGCGGAGCTGAAATGTGACAAGGGCAAGCCAGGGGTCCTTGCCAGGGGAGGGGATCTCTTTCTGTTGTGGATTCAGAATCCAGTGCCCTAACATAACTGATATAGATATTTGATCCTATAGTTGGCCTTATCCTTCTTTCTAGCCACTGCCACTGTGAACCAAGAGGGTTTGTGAGGTCCCCCTTGAGAGGTGCTCCTTTTACCATACAGTATCCTCCTTTCTGTGCAGTAAATAGCATGTTCCTATGCTTTTTCCTGGATCTAGACTTACCTGCCTTGTATCTCGCAGGAGTTACTCAAGATTTTGGCAAATGATCAAAATCTTTCTTGACGGTGCTCCAGAATTTCACCTATTAATATAACAGTTAAAAAAAATTCGTAGAAACCCATGCCAGATCAGAATTTTATCTTGCATGGGAAATTGAATGTCTGGTCTCAGATCTCATTTCCCGGGGGATGCAGGGAAAGTCCCGGCAAGGCACTGTCATCAACTAAGGAATAGGAGATGAGCTGTCTGTCTTCAACGTAACCTTTTCTCCTATTCCTTCTTCATCCAGCTATCACACAAGGATCCTTGTTCTAGTCGCTTCTGTTTTCAGGTCATAATTATAATATAAAGTAAAATTCTTAGTAATTTAGACTCAGAGCAAAGGTGTACCATTTTGACAGAAACTAATTTGTTACCTGTCTAATAGGAAAATGGAAGGCCCTTTTATAAATTAATGGTGGCAATGAAATTTAGAGTTTAAATTTTACTTTGTTCAATAATTTTCTTAAGTACTGATTTACACGTTATTGATTTCATAATTAAAATTGTCAATATAAACAGGATGTATCATCATTACTTACATCATTGAGAGCCCTCTAAGAAATTATTTAGACAGAACTCATGTTAGTTCTAATTAACACTTATAATAGTCTCTAAAAACATGCTTATTTTCAAATTCTTTAGTCATATCAACTACTTTTCCCTGATACAATCCTAGTTATTACGCATTGGTGAGGTTTTACTATGAAGGCCAAGTCCTCCACCAGCTTGCAATAGTTGAAGGTGCTTCACGGTAATAACAGAGTTCAGAGTGGCAAAGCAAAAAGAAGATGGGCTTTGTAACCAAATAAATAAGAATTTAATACTGCTTTTGATTTTATAAGCTTCACCACCTTGGGCAAATCATTCAAAATATGTGATCCTTAGGGTCCTTTTCCATACAATGGAATGAAAACTATTACACAATGGTTAATATGATGACACAAAATTATAAACAAGTACAAATTATAAGGTTTAAACACAGTCCAGTGTCTGGTACGTAGTAAGCATTCCCAAATGTTAACCACTGTGTAATGGCAAATATTAATAATGATAATGGTAATGATAGCCTGTAACTTTTCCCTCATTCATCCAACCTTCTCCTTGTGGCAGTCCAGGCTTTTGGAAGCCTGTGAGCCACAGATGCACTAAGAAATTGCTGGAAAATAGATTTCTTTGAAGAGGATTGCACTGGTCAAATTTTTCTATGTAACAATCTACCCCAAAACTTAATGATTTCAAACAATGGTTCATTATTTTCTCATGATTCTGAAAGACTTCAAATTGTTCTAGGCCCACCTGGGCAGTCTTTATATTCTAGGCTGGGCTCAGATGTTCTCAAGTGGCCTCTCTTACATGTCTGCAGCCTCAACTGGTTCAGCTGGGCTTGCTGGGCCTCTCTCCACGTGGATTCATCGTCCAGCAGGCTGACTGAAGCTTATGCACAGGTGCTGGAAGGCTCCCTAGTGCAAGAGAGAAACTACAGGGCCTTTTGAGTCTAAACCTGGACTCACAAGGTCACTTCCCCTATGTTCTGTTAGTCAAGGCAAGTCACAGTAGCGGCTCAAATCAAGAGGCGGGTTAATAGATTGCGTTTCTTGATAGAATGAGTTGCAAAGAACTTGTGGCTATTTTTGCAATCTGCTACAATATTTTCTGGCTTTTAGGTGTGTGTAAATGAGTTTGGTGTGTGAAAGTTGGAGTGCCTCCATATTTGAAATGAATTCCACTGACTCACCTTCCTGTCACCATTTACTTTATCCCCACTGAAAACCCAGCACTGCTTTCTCAAGGGAGGTTTGAACTAAGGTCTGTTGAATTACAATAGGCATAAGGTACTATGATTTGTTCTCACAAAAAATCTTTCAGCATTTTACAGATGAAAACAAAGATACTTGGAGAACTGTAAGTAATCCTGTTGTGGTCACCAAGCACGTTATTCTGATGCAAAAGCCTGGGTACTGATATCCAGTCACATGTCCTCTCACAATGATAAAGTTAATGAAACAGATGGACCTTGCAAAGACAATAATTCTGTTTTTCATTTAACATCATTCCCACCTATTCTTTGCCACCAACAAGTCCTATGTGCATGAACCAGTTGCTTTAAATGGCTCTCTTAAATAAACTGCTCCCTCATAATTTTCCACTGAAAAATACACAACATTACCTCCGTGTCTGGATCGACTTTCACCATTGCTCAGGTGAACTCATCAGCTGAGCTGAATGTTATTTGATGAATACTTTGTGCCATGATTATAGCATGTAATCAACAAATGCTTGTTGAGTTGAGTTAATGCTCTTAATTCATCTGAATCAGGTTACGGAGCTGGCTGCCTGGAGACAGATGATGTTCTTCAGCTCCGGTGGTGATTGGTCCTCTTCCCAGGAGCTCTCCAATCCTAATGTACTTATAATGAACTCTCGTCATACA